AGCAACACATAAACTAGGGTTTAAGATTTTGTCACTCTAGCAACCCATCATCTACTTATTACTTCCCAATGCCTTCCTCTAGGCCCAAATAATGGTGAAGTGTCATGTAGTCGACGTTCACATAACACCACTTGAGAAGAGACAACATACATCTCATCAAAATATCGAACGAATACCAAATTCACATGACTACTAATAGAAAGACTTCTCCCATGTCCTCAGGAACAAACGTAACTACTCAAAAAGCATATTCATGTTCATAATTAGAGGGGTATTAATGTGCATATAGGATCTGAACATATGATCTTCCACCAAGTAAACCAACTAGCATCAACTACAAGGAGTAATCAACACTACTAGCAACCCAAAGGTACCAATCCCAGACTTAGAGACAAGAATTGGATACAAGAGATGAACTAGGGTTTGAGAGGAGATGGTGCTGGTGAATATGTTGATGGAGATTGACCCCCTCCCGATGAGAGGATCATTGGTGATGACGATCGCGATGATTTCCCCCTCCCGGAGGGAAGTGTCCCCGGCAGAACAGCTCCGCCGGAGCCCTAGATTGGTTCCGCCAAGGTTCCGCCTCGTGGCGGCGGAGTCTCATCCCAAAAGCTTGCTTATGATTTTTTTCCTCAATAAAAGACTCCATATAGCAGAAGACGGGCATCAGAGGGCCACCAGGGGGCCCACAAGGCAGGGGGCGCGCCCCCACCCTCGTGGCTGGTGAGTGGCCCCCCTCTGGTACTTCTTGCGCTCAGTATTTTTTATATATTCTAAAAGTAACTTCCGTGAAGTTTCAGGACTTTTGGAGCTGTGCAGAATAGGTCTCTAATATTTGCTCCTTTTCCAGCCCAGAATCCCAGCTGGCGGCATTCTCCCTCTTTATGTAAACCTTGTAAAATAAGAGAGAATGGGCATAAGTATTGTGACATAATGTGTAATAACAACCCATAATGCAATAAATATCGATATAAAAGCATGATGCAAAATGGACGTATCAATTGACAACCCCTTTATCGCGTTGGGTGCAAGTTTTTTGATTGTTTGTGCAGGTATTGGTGATTTGTGCGTTGTCTCCTACTGGATTGATACCTTGGTTCTCAAACAGAGGGAAATACTTATCTCTACTTTGCTGCATCACCCTTTCCTCTTCAAGGAAAAAACCAATGCAAGATCAATAAGTAGCAGGGCCCTACCATATATATGCTGTAGGTCGAGGTCGTCGTCCACTTGCCTAAGGGCGTGGTGGTTGTTGGTTGACTATCCAAGGACTCACCGATCTCCTCCTCCATATCTTCAACTTTGTCGGATGCGCTTTTGAGAACTTCAATTAGGTCCTAGACATTGGCAACGAGATAGGTGGTGGGTGGGTCAAAAAACCAACTTTTCCCAAGAACTCCCAGATCTGATCGTACACGATTGGTTGTCCAAAATTACGAGCTTCTGGATTTGATCTAACATCTCATTCAAAGGAGTTTCTCACATTCTTCTTGGACCCAATTTGACATTGGGACCAGAGGAAGCTACTCCAAGATCCGATCTAACATGGATCTCGGTTTCTCACACTCCACCACGCCCTGATATGACATCTAGATCGTCGGAGGTGGCATTGAGTCCAGATATGAGGTCAGTCCCGATGAAGGATTCTCACGCTTGTCCTGAGCCGGATTTAACATCGGGTTCGGGGTGGGTGGCTTGCATTGATCCTCAGCTTGGTATGACATCTAGCTCATGAAGACCAACTCCCCACGAGAATTCCTGGTATACTCCATGCTGCCGAATCTAAGATCCTTCCTAGAGTGAAGGATTCTACCTAGCCGAGGTGGTCAGTCGAGTTGGTGACGAGGGTGATGGTGCCGAAGATGAAGATCTGCCCCGACACGAACATCACATCGGTACCGATCTGCTCATTGAACTTGACTCCCATTATATCACGTCGGGCCCTCTTGATGAGGTAAAACCCTACGTCATACTTCTTATATATTGATTGTGGTGGGGTACAAAGTACAAATTGATCTACCTCGAGATCGTATGATATTGTCTAAGCTCTAAACCTTACGAATGTATATTCGCGCCTCTACAGACTAAACCCCACAACTTATATAGGCACCGGGGGTATCTAGGATTACAAATGGATGGCTACAATCTTAGAGATAAGTATGCCGGTTAAACTATGCTTGAAGTGTACGCCAAGTCTTCAAGAGATCTTCATCTTAACCACGCCGAGGGCCAGGGCTAGTATGGCCATGTCATCAATCTTTAGTGGGTCCTTAGCTCGGCCCATTAGTGCCAGACCGATGTGGCAAATACCCCCTAATACAGGACACCAACACTTGGCCCGGCCCACTTGGCCGAGAGTTGACGTGGTGAGAGCCCTCCTTGTCGGGACACCATCACAGTGCGAATAAGACTTCGCGTGTTCTCTATCACAAGCTAAGTAGGCTACCATCTGGGTTGCATGGTACACCAAATAAATAGCTACATTCATGTGAATAAATTCGTTTCAAAAACATTTCATAACTATTATTCATAGTGTAGGGCGTGTGGGATTGCAACCTTGAAGGCTACTCATCCATTAATATCATTGGATTATCTACACGCGAGCGTCAAGGACAATGGGCATGAGAACGCTTGCAATGGAAGATTCATAACATAAACAATCGCCTTCATTAAGCATCAGTGATGTTCGAAGCTTGAGTGCCATCGTGTCTCGATTTGGGCGTCAGTGGTGTTCGCCGCTTTACATCGATATTGTTGTCGGGAAGTTCCAGTGAACTTAGGAACGTTCACCTATGCCCCAACATCGCCGCCTCCGGACAAGGCATCGCACATCAAGCCACCACTCACCATCGATGGCAGATGCCAACGGTGAGGCATAATGGTTGTGCTATAACTCCTCCAAATTTGGTCTATTGTCATGCTACATTCATGCCATGTGCATTTATTTGCATTATTATTGAAGATCAATATATGGAATTAACTCAACATGTCCTACAACTAATGGTTCTCTACTCCAACATTCCGTTTTCGCTACCATGGCAATGTTTTCTTCAATGACAATCCAGTTTCGCTGTTATGGCAACAATTTTCTGCTATGATAACTTATTTTTGATGCCCCGACAATGTTTTAGCAATGTGGCCTGGTTGTAACATAGGACCATTTTCCCAGGACTAAGGTTTTTTGGGACATGGGTCCATGAGATCAAGAAATGTTACCCCTCCATCGGTCCTTCAAGATTTGTTGCTAACATGGTCATTTAACCAATACATGTAAGATGCATGATCATAACTAAGCAAATACATGACACAATACGAAAATGGTGTGAGCCAATCATCATCATTCATGAAGTATACGCAGTATACGCCCGCTGCCCCATATGCTCCATGAACTAGTTTCGGGATTACTTGCGCATATGTCACGCCGGCTAGCAATCTAGCATATAATGATGTCATGTCCATCCTCTCCCTAGAGTGTTCACTGTAACCGTTCTTCAAGCTCCTCCACAATGAAGAATGTTTCCAAATGTGACCATGGCATCCAATTTGTCCAGAGGTCCTAGAAAAGAACCATGCGCCTGTTGCATTTATGTCATCGGATCAGCGCGCACGTGAGGGGGGCGGCATCTTGTCAGAATGGTTGAGCATTGGAGGAGCCGACAAAATATAGTGGAACGTGGATGAATGATTTAATGTGCTTAAACATTTTATGGTTTTTTATTGCCACGTGACGTGTCTTAGTTATAGTTCAGCTAGCTAATTGACTAAGATGTAACTATTAATTGTGCTACAACTGTCATGCAATATCGTTTAGTTTTTGGACTATGCATGTATGCTCATCAAGCTACTTAAGGCATTAATCAGATGAAGCATGCAAAAACTAATTAATTCATGAAGTTACATGCACATATACACACTAACTTTTGTGGATACCTACATAGGAGTAGTATGTTGTTAATAGTAGCATGGTTTGCCTCATTAGCTAAGTAGTGATGCGGTTAAGCCATCAATTGGTTGTATTTGTCTACGCTTTCATTCGATCAAATGGTAGAGTACTTCCTGTAAAGACAAGAACATGTTAGGCAGTACTATATATATCAACACACCTGATGAGTAAAAGGGAAGTCATCTTGGTCGAATAGCTTTGGGTTGGAGGAGCAAATGGACTATAGTGCAATGCAGAGCAAGAAGACCTGAAGAGGATGTATGGAAAGGGATGGGCACTAAGAAGAGAGAGCTTCCTATAATATGGCCAATGGTTAGCGGGTGCGTGTTATGATTCACATACTAAATGAGCCAGGTTCGGTTTGTCAAACATGTAGCCCCATGCGCACTAATGTTTCGCATAAATAGAAGGCAATAATGTTCGAGGTGAATATGAATCAAATACCGCGAGCTCACGTTACCGAATGCGATACTTTGTTTGGTGTATAAATACATGACTTATCTCTAAAGAATGAATGGCCTATATTTTGACCACATCGTGACCCAAAGTGTATTTCCGCAATCTCCTAATTTTTAATAAATAGAAAAAGAAAAGCAAATCCCAGCCGTCCGATGGCAGCCCACAGCTTCAGATGCCAGGATTCCCAACAAGCTAGTGCCTCAGCTTCCCGGGGGGACTGCTGTGCCGGAGACTCCCCAAACTACCCACCCCGCTTGCCCCCCCTAGGTCTGAAATAGCCGTAAATATCCTCCATCCGGAGGCTACGAATGTAATTTGTCGACCCCGAGCAGAAATGCTAAAAAAAAAAAAACGTCCGACACAAAGGATATGAGCTCGTGCAGGAGTGCGGCTAGGGTTTCTCCTCAAACACTCCTCCCCTCTCCCCTCTCCCCCAACCCCTCGCCGCCGCCGCATCCAAAACCCCTTCCCCCATCAACCTCGTCCTCCAATGGCATCACGGCCCATCAGGCGAAGCTGCTAGCTCGTGTCTCCCGTCCGCTTCCCCGAATAGCTTGTTGATCTACCGCAGCCCCCCATCCCCGCCGCCGCCGCCATGACGACCCTCAACCAGTTCGATCTCCTCGGAGACGTCGACAACGACGACCCCTCGCAGCTGCTTGCTGCGGCGGCGGCCGCCGCGGCAAAGAAGGCCCAGGCGAACAAGACGGAGGCAGCGCCTGCTGGAAAGGCGGCCCAGACTGCGGCGTCGGCCAAGTTGACGACCAAATCCGCTCCCCCGGCACAGGCTGGTGAGTTGCAGCGCCGAGAGCGCCAGATCTGGATTCGGAGCATTTCGGCCCTTTCCAGCATCTGATGTGGTTCGGTTGATTAAAAATTTATCTTATTTTTGTGATTAGTTTGGGCATGTTTACCGACGCATTTCATTTTTGAGGTGGTATGGATTATTTTTTATGTGGTTCGGTTGGTATACCACGTCGGTTGTAAATCTGATTCCATTTGTTGCGGGGCGTGGGCTTTTCATCGCTTGAAATTAGAATCTATACCTTACTTCTAATACACCGTTCGAATTTTTGATTATATTCTAGCTCTATTTTCTCACAACATGAAGTTTTTCATTTAAGCACTTTAATTCAACTTTCTTTCAGGGAGGGATGCGAGGAGCGGAGGCCCACCATCACGTGGAGGATTTGGCCGTGGTGAACCTGGCCGCGGCAGAGGCGGCGGCCGATACGGCCAGAACCGTGACTTTGGCAGTGAGAACAGCAATGGCTACCAGGGAGGTTATGGTGGGGTAGGTTCTGGAGATGGCGCTGTAGCTGGAGGCGGGGATGGGGAGAGAGACCCTCGACCATACCGTGGAGGCGGTGGTAGACGTGGTAGTTACCGCAACGGTGAGTTTGGTGACGACTCTGAGAGACCACCCAGGAGAAACTATGAGCGCCACAGCGGGACTGGTCGTGGCCAAGGGATGAAACGCGATGGTGCAGGCCGTGGAAACTGGGGATCTTCCACTGATGAAGGTCTTGCACAGTAAGGACATTTCCATCTATTGTTGTTTTTCGTTACTATCTGAATTGATGAAGGGAGTTATAAGAGATGAATCTGTTTTGTATAACCAGGGAAACTGATGAAGCTCTTAAAATTGAGGACAATGCTCCCATCGCTGAGAAGCAGGGTGAGCAGGATGATGCTCCTCCAACAACAGTGGAGAACAAAGACCACAAGGATGGTGCTGCAAAGGAGGAGGAAGAGAATGAAGAGGATAAGGTAAAGGCTACACCCAAATGCAATTTATGTGCGGAGATTGCACTTTTTATTTAGGTTTGCAGAAGTAAAATGTTTTGTAGTGGGGGTGGTTTACTAGTAGGCAGGCTTGATCTGGCCCTTGATTTGTCCATTATTGTCTAATACCTGCTGGTAGCTTAGCTTATATTACTGCTGTTAGTTGCCCCTTGTCTCACACTCATTGATGCTGTTGGGATGATGTACTTCATCACCCTTAGTGCAATGAAGGGTCTGGCCAGGAAAGGATTTTCATAATTCACAGTTAAGACAATAAGATTTTGGATTTCTCTCAAATATGTACTGCCCTCTTGTTTGGTTCATATGTTGTCGTTTTTAATTCTTGCACTAGGAACACTGTTTTTAGTGCATTTCGCAGGAAAGTAATCATTCCTCAAACTTCATTTTCCCATAGGATCTAGGCAAGCACATCCCTACACCCACCACACTTGTTATATTTTCCTGCTCCTAACAGGCCTTGAGTATCTTCTCACTTCATTTGCCTGCTTTGTTTGCACAAAAGCACCGACTTGCTATTTGTGTGCAAGAAATGTGTGCATCATTTGAATCAAATCATAGTAGATGAACCTTCTCATTTACTGTTGAACTGTTATCTAATGCCATGGACTGAGCTTCTCATGCTGCTGGAGATGTCAGTGCACACCTCCTGCCCGGGTGTGAGTCCTATTTGGCTCAAATTTGGTTGCCTACTTCTTTATGTTATGACATCTGGTTCCTTTATGCATGTCTGCTGCTTTCATGCAATGTATGTGTACTAATATTTCAATTGTACAGGAGATGACTCTAGAGGAGTTTGAGAAAATAAGGGAGGAACAGCGGAAAGCACTACTAGCATTGAAGACTGAAGAAAGAAAGGTTGAAGTTGACAAGGACCTGCAGTCTCTGCAGCCACTGTCTACCAAGAAAGCCAATGATGAGGTTTTCATTAAATTGGTATGTTTAGTAGTATATGCTATTTTAATTCTTTGGTAATTTTTGAATATATGAATGATTATGTCTGTGTCTCCTTAGGGTTCTGACAAGGAGAAGAAGAAGGAAAGTACTGAGCGTGATGAACGTGCCAAGAAGGTAATACCTGTGGTCTTATGATGCACACTTTCCGTTCACTATTATAAGATGGTCTAACTTTTTTCTAAATTGGATGTATGTAGACATGTTTTAGTGTGTTTGCTCTCTTATTTCAGTCTGTCTGTAGTTTTTTTAGAAGAACAGGGATGCCTCTCCCCGATTCCATTACTTGAATGAAACAGTCTGTTTGTAGTCCATACTGCAATATCCAAAACATTTTATAATAGATCCAAAACATTTTATAATAGTTTAAGAGGGAGTAGCATTTTGTAATCCTGAGTACAATTTGGTGGGTGACCAAACTAGTTCACACATTTGGCGGTTGCATTAAAGTTTTATTGTTCAGCTTTCTGTGTCTTCCATGGTCCCAGTTGGGTACAGCATGTTTTTGGAAGTTCCTTTTAATTTACTATTTTGTCCTTGTGTTAATTAGCCAATTATGTACTCCCTCTGTTCCAAATTACTTGTCATGGTTCTAGTTCAAATTTGAACTAAAACCACAACGAGTAATTTGGAATGGAGGGAGTAGGAGATTAGGTGAATTTGGACCAATCTTCTAGGGTTGGAATCTGGAATTCTGAATCAACCGTGCAATTGCTAGTTTGTTTGGGGTAAAAGCAAGGGGCAACCTTAGTTTAAACAACCAACAAATTGTGTAACAAGTCCATTGTGGTTGTGGTGGCTATGTTGTGCTATCGCTATTGCTTCTAACAAGAAAATGCTAGGTGCTAATGTTGTAAATCTCCTCTCCAGTCTCTTAGCATCAACGAGTTCCTCAAGCCTGCCGAGGGAGAACGGTACTACGGCGGCCGTGGTCGTGGAAGGGGCCGCGGTGAGGGCCGTGGAGACCGCGGCGGTTTCAGGGGCGGGTTTGGAGGAGGATACCAGCGCGGGCAAGCTGCCGCGCCATCCATCGAAGATCGGTCACAGTTCCCGACCCTGGGCGGGAAGTGAAGGTTGTGTGCTGTGCTGTCCCGAGCGCCATCCTCGTTGTCTTGACTGGTGTTGCCTTTAAATTTTGCCCGACATTGGATTATTGTGTCTCGGTTAATCGGAACAAATAATGTGGTTTTTTCTTTCAGTGTGTTACTCGATTTTGTATGCCGGAGTTGATCGTCGGGATTAGGCCTCTAGCTAGTTTTGTAGGCTAGCTTTGCGTTTGGTTAAAGATCGTATTATGCCTTGTTTCTTCTAGCTTTACTTTGTTCGGAATGATGTCACACAAAGCAATCATACGCCTTGCTAAACTCATCATCCTCTCAAGGCCACCGAGCATCTAGTCTAGATCCTTGGTACCATGTCCATGTCTGGGGTATCGGCGCACACTGAGAAAATATGTTCTTGGAAGGATTGAATCAGGACAGGGCTAGCGAACGGCTAGTGCTCACCTTGCCGTCGGCCTCGTCCCTTGGGCTGTGGGCTCGCCCGCTCGGTATCTAGTCGTCGAGCTGTGCATGCATTGTCTCAGCGTTTAATTTGGAGCTGTTGGTTCGGGATGTGCCGCCCCTCGGCCTCCTCGATGGTGGCTTCGACAGTGGAGCATTTACAACCGGACGCCTCAGACTTACGTTAGTGCGTCTTGCACTGTCTCGCTGCTCAGTCGCTGTCCGACATAAAATTGCCACCTAAGGGCATTTACAATGCAAAGATGCGCGTGGGCGCTTAGACAATAAAAAGAACTGGAAATAGCATCGGGGTAGGAGTCCGTCTCTTCAATGCGCGGCGCCTATTTGAGCGCTAATGTGATTGTTTTTTTCCGCAAAAAATACGATAGCAGTCGCTAAACAAGCTCATGCAAAAGAAAAAAAAGGAGGGATTCAGCCATAACGGCTGGGAAAAGAAGCCTGGCACCTGGCCTAAGCGCCGGCGTTGTAGATGCCCTAATCGGACTGACTCTTGCCAAATGCGAGGGTCAGTAATCGGGCTCTCTAAACGCAGCAAAATGCCTCGGCTGACCCGTAACCTCACATCCAGCTCATGTATGAGGTGGACGTGCCTGCCATGTCAGATGCGGCTCACTATGGCCCGCTTGACCTCATATATATTCAACCCTATCCGCACTTCGGAGAAAACTCTAACTACACTCCACTCCTCATCGTCTTTAAGCTCCTCTCTAGTATCCAACTCCGAGATGTCCGGATCCGACGACTGATACCTCATCCCCTGCGGTTCCAAGGAGTTGATGGTCGTCTGTGCTACTCTCCAACGCTATGGGAAGGAGTGCGCCCTCCCGCGGTCGGAATGGATCTGGCGGGGAGTCCATTGCCTTCTCTCAAATGACGTTAGGACCCATCGGGGCAGTGGTTCAAGGCATGTGACCGCGGCCTAGCCAAAAGCGGTGACCAGCATGGCGGCGCAACGCCGCCCTGTTGGCGGAACCGTTTAGGTGGCGACTCGTCTCCGCGGCGTCGGCCGCCGAAACGGAGGCCATAGCTGCCTCCCTCCATGGTTTACGACCAAACCAGCCAGTAGGCACGACACACCCGCCGTGCGAGGCCGCGGACGCGGGATGCCGCGACAGCTCTCGATTCTCGAGGCAGAGTTCCTGTGCTCCGCCGGCCGACCTCTGCCCGTGTGTCAGGCCCCGATAACTTCAGAGTATAGATTTCTAGCTAATTTTGGGAGGAATTGTATGGGTGAGGCAGATCTCGACTGTATTGCTCGGAGAAGAAGTATATGGTTTGCGGTTACAAGCCGTAGCTAGCAAGCAATTCAGGAAAAGTAGATAATGACCTCTCCCAGCCACAACCCGACTGTTTATAGGCTGGCCAATGACAACTCATAAAGTGCACTACAAGAAATGTAAAGCTACAGTAAAGGCCCTCTTTCCTACGGTGGCGATCTGTATAGGAGCCATCGTAGCCGTTGATCTCTCTGAAACGGTATTGTCGGATTAACTACACCGCTTTCTCTGAATCTTCAGTCTTAACTGAATTCCCAGCCTTTGATGCCTGACATTGCCCCTCCCTTGAGATGCGCCATGTCCTCATGGCGCTTGTTGTTGCTCTCGCCACGCTTGTGTCGTAGCTTTAAAGAACTCATGGAATGTATACTTTATGAAATCTGCATCTTCCCACGTTGCATCTTCTGGAGGTAGGTTTTGCCACTGAATGTACCACTGTACAACTGGCATATTGTGTCGAGGCACTTGTCTGACTTGAAGAACTTCTGCCGGCCCAGTCTTTACTGTGCCGTCTGCTGTAACCATCGGAAGGTTTTTACTGGGAATGGACTTAGATCCTATGTGCTTTTTCAACTGGCTCACATGGAAGACATGATGAATTTTGACATGATCAGGAAATTGCAGTCTGTAAGCTACTTTGCCCACTCTCTGAGTTATCACAAAAGGGCCATAAAACTTGTTCTGTAATTTCAAAGCTCCTCGAAACCCAAATGCAGCAAGCCTATAGGGAGCCATTTTTAGATATACTAAATCTCCCACATTGAACACCCTTCCACTCCTTTTTAAATCTGCATACTTTTTCATCCTGTTCTGAGCTTGTTGCAGGTTGATTTTCAGTTGGTCCAGCATGTTCTGTTTTTCTGTCAGAAATGTATGAGCTTCTTCCTCTTCAGGACCAGGAATTGCTACCTCAGATATTAGTGGGGGAGGAAAACCATACAAGGCTTGGAAGGGGACATCTTCAGAGCTGTGTGATAAGTGGTGTTATACCAGAATTCAGCCAAGGATAACCAGGAATACCACTTTGTGGGTTGATCAGTAGTCATGCATCTCAAGTACGTTTCTAGACATTGGTTGACTCGTTCGGTCTGGCCATCTATTTGCGGATGGTAAGCAGTACTGTACCGTAGTTCACTGTTAAGAGCAGCAAAGATATCCTTCCACAACTTGCTAGTGAAAATTCGATCCCTGTCAGATATGATTAGCTTAGGTGGCCCATGTAGTCTGATTATGTTGTCCACAAATGCTTGGGATGAGAGAGAGGAATGAAATGAGCATAGCGAGTGAATCTGTCCACCACCACTAGTATGACCTCCTTGCCTTGGGAATTAGGAAGTCCTTCTATGAAGTCCATAGAAATATGCTGCCAAGCCATGTCAGCCATAGGCAAGGGCTCCAATAAACCAGGTTGCAGACAATGCTCATGTTTAGCTCTCTGACAGATAGGACAGGCTGCAATGAACTTCTCCACTTCTGCTTTCAGACCAGGCCAGTAGAATATGTTTTTCACTCGTTGATATGTAGCTCTAGTCCCTGAATGTCCACCCACAGGAGAACTGTGCAAAGCAGTGATCAATCTTGCTCTTAACTCAGCTACATTCCCCACCATGATCTTTCCTTTATATCTGATAATACCTGCTGTCAAGCTGTAGTCAGGCATGGTGTTGTTGGGTTGTAATAGTAGTTTTTCCAGAATGGTTTTTGTAGCTGGATCTTGAGGATAACTGTCCACTAATTCTTGTTCCCACACTGGAGTAGCTACAGATATGGCCATGCAAGATGGTAGAAACCTGGAAAGAGCATCTGCTACATTGTTTTGAACACCTTTTTGTATTGAAATTTGAAATTGAATTCCAATAGTTTCATCATTAGCTTGTGCTGAACTCCCTCAGTGATCTTCTGATTAGTAATGAATTTCAAAGATTGTTGATCAGTTTTAATGATCAATTCATTACCTATCAGGTAATGTCTCCATTTTTTAAGTGCTTCTAAGATGGCCAGAGCTTCTTTTTCATAAGTGGACAGAGCAGTGTTTCTAGGGCAGAGAGATGAGCTATAATAAGCTAGAGGTCTGCCCTGTTGCATCAGTACTGCTCCTATCCCTTTTCCAGATGCATCAGTTTCAAGCACAAAGGGTTTGGAGAAATCAGGTAGAGCTAACACTGGGGCTGTGATTAGGGCTTGCTGTAGTTGCCCAAATGCTTTGTCATGTTCCTATTTCCACTGAAACTGGCCCTTCTTTAATAGACCATGTAAGGGCCTGCATATAACTCCATAATTTTTTATAAATCTTCTGTAGTAACTTGCTAGCCCCAGGAAACTTTTCAACTTTGTCACATTCTCTAGCACTGGCCAATCAGCAATTGCTTTGATTTTCTGTGGGTCAGTTGCTAATCCTTCAGAAGAAATCACATGCCCTAAGTATTCAACTTGTTGGACTGCAAAAACACATTTAGACCTTTTTGCACAGAGCTGGTTTTCCTTCAGAACTTTCAGTACTAGTTCAATATGTTCCATATGTTCCTTGAGTGATTTGCTGTAAATCACTATGTCATCAAAGAAGACTAGCACAAACCTCCTCAAATAAGGGCCAAAAATGCTATTCATTAAAGCTTGAAAGGTGCCTGGTGCATTAGACAATCCAAAAGGCATGACCAGATATTCAAAGTGTCCCAAGAATGTTCTGAAAGCAGTTTTGTGGATGTCATCCGGATGCATCCTAATCTGGTGATATCCTGCCCTCAAGTCTAATTTGCAGAAATATTTAGCTCATGTAATTCATCCAGTAGATCTTCAATAACTGGTATAGGAAATTTGTTTTTAACTGTGACTGAGTTGAGTTTCCTGAAATCAGTGCACAATCTCATTGAATTATCCTTTTTCTTTACCAAAATGACAGGAGCAGCATATGGACTCTGGCTGCGTCTGATAAAATGAGCAGCCAACATTTTCTTGATTTGCTCTTCCATTTCTTTCTTCTGGTGCTCTGGAACTCTATAAGGTCTAGAGTGGGGAGGTTCAACTCCAGGTTGCAGAGGAATGGTGTGATCACAATACCTATGAGGTGGAAGAGTGCGAGGTTCCTCAAAAAGGTCTGCATACTCCATAAGTAATTTCTGCAATTGTGGAGGGGTTTGAAAACCAGCTGGAGCTTCCATAACAATATTATGCATCTGTAATAAAAAGCCCTCTGCTCCTTTCTCCAGCAACTTGCTCACCTTCTCAGCTGGAATTTCCTTCACTTTTTCAGGAGTATTGAAAATAGCCGCAG